AGCGATGCGCTCTGGTATCCCGTAGCACTTCTGGCCTCGAAATCGCGGCCTTCTAGAAAGGGTTTGATCTGTTGATTTGGAGGCTCCAGTATTGGGAGCGTTTAGATGTTACAGCGATGTTGCATCAGTAGTGTTAATATATAAATATGGTTGCGTAATTGGGGGAGAATCGCTCAGCTGTGAACTGTCGTGTGAATGTTTCAGTTGGGTATATGGGAGGGGCGGGGGGAGGTTTTGGAGCAGGAATCTGTTGTGCTAAGGGGTGGGTATTGTAAATATTTCAGCTCACTCGTGTAAGCTGCTTGAGTGAGCTCTGTAGAGTTTAACCGGCCTAGTACTGTAATAAAGAGTACTAAGGTTGATTTTTTAATAGTCTCTGGAAGCGTGGTGTTGGGGGGGGGGAGGGTTCTGTCTTTTTAAGAAAAAATCAAATGTATGTTGTTTTAAAATTGTTGCATGTTCAATTCAAACTTTTTAACAAGTCCTTGATGTTTCAATTTAAAAGTGACCAGTGGGGCTGAGGCTGTGTCCACTGAGGCTAAGATGACTGCCTTTCCTGGCCATGGCTTTTCCATACATTGTGTGACCCTTGCCCTATGACCCTTTGGCTGACCTTACCGGAAGCCATGACGACAGCAGCCTTTTGCCATTAGACGCAGGGTGATGGTGAGGATTCCAAGGGTTAGACAAAACTGGTTAAACTGAACTAGGTGACTGTTACCTTGCGTGTTTTGTGGCCAAACCACCACCAAAAACCTCATACTGTGATGTAAGTACTTAGTGTAACTAGTAAACGTTTTTGTAAAATGTAGAAATGCATGTAATCAGTTAAGTTTTATATTTTACAATGTTCTGTAAAATAAAACTTAGCAAGGTGAATCTAATAAGGAGCAGTCACTCTCTAACAGATCTTAGGAGCACAGACTTGTAGGATTTTAGTCTGTTTGATTTGCCATTAATGTAGATTATGGCAAAATTGCAAAGTTTGTTGGAGGCTTAGAGAAATAAAGTCCTACTCCAGTAAATATGACTGTTAAACTAACTTTTTCAGAACATTGACCTTTTGTCATGCTAGGGGACGATCTAACTTTGTTTCTTTGTACAATCAAGGTGGGGGTGGTGGCGGATATAGCAGTCGCAGACAATCAGGACGAGATAAATATGGACCACCCGTTCGTACAGAGTTCAGACTGATTGTTGAAAATCTTTCCAGTCGCTGTAGTTGGCAGGATTTGAAAGTACGTATTGATGTTCTATTGTGGAGCCTGTTGTGATAAGCAGAAAGCAATAGCTTCCTTTAATAGCAGTGTTGATATTGATAATGAATTAGAAGTAATTGAAAACTGTTTGTATGTGGATGTTTGCATGCACTAAGTGCTGCTTGCGGAGCCTCAGCCTGTGGTGTGTTCTGTAACTGTTCCTCTGCTCCCCGAAGGATTTCATGAGGCAGGCTGGGGAGGTGACCTATGCAGATGCTCACAAAGAACGTACGAATGAAGGAGTGATTGAATTCCGATCATACTCGGACATGAAGCGTGCCCTGGATAAACTGGATGGCACAGAGATAAACGGCAGGAAGATCAGGCTCGTTGAAGACAAGCCACGCTCAAGCCATAGGCGATCCTACTCTGGCAGCAGGTCAAGGTAATTCTCCAAACATGTCAGTCACTGGATCAAGACACTCAGAATGGGGATAGGTACCCTACCTGCAGTAGTCATCTTCAGCTGATGCGATAGTTACCTTCAGCTGATAGTTTAGGAATAGGATGGGGCCTGAGAAGGTAGAAGGAATTATTTTATGCAATACAGCAAAGCCAGGTTTGAGCAGTTTTTTCACATGGAAAACCTCAGATATGATTAACTGATGGTACATTGAGTCTGGGTGGGTTAATAGTGTGTATTGGTGTGGCCATCCTTGCTCTTGAGAAGTTCTGTAGCAGCTTTTCTCTGTTAGATTATGCTACCAGATAGCATAATGCATTAGATACATGTGGGAAGAGATTCTTCCCTGTGAGGGTGGTGAGGCACTGGCACAGGTTGCCCAGAGAAGCTGTGGCTGCCCTATCCCTGGAAGTGTTGGATGGTGCTTTAGCATCTGGTCGTAGTGGAAGGTGTCCCTGCTCATGGCTGGGGGTTGGAACCAGATGATCTTTGAGGTCCCTTGCATCCCAAGCCACACTATGACTCTTCTAGATGATGCAGGGCACACAAGGCACAGAAAAAGGGGCAAACTAAATTTTGGATGTTTGTAGGTCACGGTCCAGGAGACGATCTAGAAGCAGAAGTCGGAGAAGTCGGAGCAGCCGCAGCAGGTCCCGTAGCGTCTCCAAAAGCCGTTCGCGGTAAGTGCCACAGTGTTAACACTGTCAGTACAGGGACTGCTGCTCACTGACAGATATTTACAGGCACTGTAAGTACACTTCAGGTCACACAGAATAAACTGTCTCTCTTTAAAAGATCTAAATCCAGGTCACGAAGCAAAGACCGCTCACGTTCCAGATCCAAAAGCAGGAAGTCCAGATCAAAGAGCAAATCGAAACCCAAGTCTGACAGGGGTTCACGCTCTCACAGCAGATCCAAGGAGAAGTCTGAGAAGTCTCGGTCCAGATCGAGGTCCAGGTCTCGCTCTCCCAAAGAAAATGGTAAAGGAGATGCTAAGTCTAAGTCCAGGTCAAGGAGCAGGTCTCGTTCCAATTCTCCGCAGCAGCAGCCATCTGCCAAGGCTCGTTCTGAGTCACCACCCAAAAGAGCTGCATCCAGGTCCCGCTCCAGGTCCCGTTCAAAGTCTCGCTCACGAACAAGATCTAGTTCAAGGGATTAGAACTAGAACTCTCATCTTGCACACTATTATGGAACATTTTCCTACCTGTCAGGCCATTAGTGTTACGTTAGTACTTCAGAGGCTGTTTTTTTCTCTTGCAGGATTGAATGGCCTAAGAATTAAGTCATGAGGCATAAAGGTTTAATTTGTATTCCAAATTTGGCAATATGAGATGGGATGGTGGTACAAAGCAGGGAAAGTCCCCCTTTTGTAGAAATTCAGCTGAAAGTTTGATTTTATAGCAATTCTGCAGGAGTAACTTGAGTACTCTTAAATACAAAGTGGTTTTTATATTAAAAATAAACTGAATATAAACAGGCTAAAATCTGGGCTCTTTTGAAAGTATCCTTTTTTCTTATTTTTTTTTTCATTACATTAGAGCTATGGGTGTCATTAGCTTCGTAGGTTTCAGAGTGCTGCCAAAGGCAGGATTGCTTTGCTGGGCAGGTCACACAGTTCTCTGGTTTATCATAATTTTGAAAGCAGGCCGCAAATTATATAAACCAGTAACAGTAGTAGGAAGATTTTAGACCAGCAATAAACTCAAGTTGGAGGATTTATGTTGTACCTTAACTTGCCAAAAGAACATTCCCCCCATACTGTGACTGTATTCAAGGTGATAAGGGTACTCTGGAACCTGTATCCTACAGTATTGCTGAAAACCCCTTCATTTCAGACTTGAAAGAATTAAAGCTTTCTGATGTTTTTTGCTTGAATATCAAGTGTCATTGTTGTCATACACAGAGGTGTCTCTTGGCTGTGGTCCAAGTCACTAGTGTGTTGTATGGTTTGTCAGCCTCTAAATCTATTGGATATGAAACCCAAGGAAAGAAATCTGTCTTCCCACCCCTTTGACTCACTTACGTTAACGTTTTGCTTCAGACTAGAACTATAATCCTCTTGTGTGTAGGTCTGAACTTTATTGGAAATGTAATCTCTTGGAGCTAGAGTTCTAGTTTTAACAAAAGCTTTGCTAAACCACAGTTGCCAATTCACTTAAATTGTGGAGTAGGACTCATCCCAAAAATTCCCCTTTATAGCTACAATGATTTTTGTAAGATGCAGTAGCAAACATTAGAACTGCCTTGTACTCTTTATACAGCGTGTAGTTTGACTTGTATAAAATTAAATTGGTGACTCAAACTCTTGTGTTCATTGCAGTGTAATGGGATTCTTGTTCTGCCTCGTACTGGGGAAGTCACAATTTATTCTGCTGTTGTGAAGAAACTAGTGAGAGACTTGGTAGCTTTTGAAATGCCCTTGACCTTGTGCTTGAGAGGTCATGAGCTACTTCTGTCCCAGTTTGTCACCTGGTCCTTTGTGCAGATGTGGCTGGGTGTGACAGCTGCATCTGTGGTTCCAATTCACACATCTGCCCAGAGGAATTGGGTCAGGCATGGGGCACATGTGAAGTGTGACTTGATGCCCATTTTTTCTCTCCTGGAATTGCTTGATGATACAAAAAATTACCCTAAAATTCAGTTTCTTGCCTTTCTCGATCGTCTCTAGAAAGCTGGACTTTCTTGCAGGTGAGTATCCATACTAGCACCAGAATGGAGAAGCACAGTCACATTCCTGGAACCTGAAGTGAATCCATGCCTAGTGTTGCCATAAGGTCAGGTTACTGTTGCTTTTGCATGGTATACACTTCTCCGTGCTGTTTTTATCTCAAGAATGGAAAAAAACAACTGGACTTGAGCTGGCAGTCTGAGCTTCCCTAGGATTGTTAATACAGCTATGGAGCCTGACAGATAATTCTGGCATGGCTAAACCAACACTTCTGAGTACTTGGTACTGCAGTGTTACCTGCGTGACTCTAGGGGGGTTAATTTGTGATAAGGAAATTTTGTTTTAAATTGAAGCCGTTTTAGTGAAGGCGGTGCATTTTTAGCTTAATGACTAGAAAAATTGTTTTGCAGTCTTGATCACTGCAGGTGGTACCTCTGGCTTTGGATTTCAAACAGGAGGGGAGTACCAGGGGTTTCCTGCAGAATTCATACTATGAGAAGAAGGTTAGTGCAGACTTACAACCTAAGCTACACTTGAGGAAGTATTTGCCTCCCTTAAACCTACCACAGGTATTAAGCTGCCTTGGTTTTACTTACGCTGATCATGGAGTAGGTCAGACTTGAAGGAGAACTGCTCCTCTGTGTAAAACAGAGCTTCATGGAAAACTGTTCCTCTAGTAAAACACACACCACACTCCTCAAAAGAAGCATTGAGCTCAGAGCTCAGCAGATTGAAAGATACATATGTGTATTTCCAGTATCTCTCTCTGTGGTAACAAGATGTTGACAATTACTTTTTTTTTGCACAGGCATATACAAGTAAACCTTTGTTTCTAAAACTGACCCCCAGTGCCTGACCCCTGAGGATATCTTGGCCTTGGAGTGGCTGTGGGCACCCCAGCCTTGGTCAGCACTGCAGAACGATGTCTCTTAACAACTACACTCAGCTTTCTGAGATGAGGTTGCTGTGACAATGGTCATGTTTGATTGAAGTCCTCTTTACACATGAATTGCAGGGAGGGACCGGATTGGATTTAACCAGCTTGCTTGAAACTCCTTTAAATATCAGTATTTCTTGTGTTACTGGAGCCACATTCGCTGTCTTCCTTGGCTGTGCAAAAGACAAACAGCCCCTTAGTGTGCAAAGGAAGCAGGGGTTCCTTGGCATGACTTGTGTCCTTTTGGATGTGTTTCCTCTGGGAAGCCAGTAGGATTTTGGTAGTGCCATATCCTGAGCCAGCACAGTTAAGTGAAAGGCTTGTCAAAATGCTGTAGAGAATTTGCCGGCAAAACCCAAACACCCTCAGCATTCCAGCTCTATCAGCACAATTTTTTTCTGGGAGTGGAACACTCTGGGGCTAATGTGTGTTTGTGAGCACAAGTGGTATTATTCCTGACATCTGTTCAGGGTTTTAAAATTGGATTTTGATAAATTTCATAGAAGGGTAAAAGGCTAGCAGACTTGTATGCTGACTGCCTTTTGCTTTGTCTGCAGCAGTAGCAATAGTCAAGGACAAAACCATCTGGAGTTGCTCATATCTCAGTTTTTAACCTGATCCTGGAGCCAGCTTTCTGGTGACATGCTTCAGAACTGGGCTACCTGCCTTTTTTTTTATTTCTAATTTTTTGCATCAATGTAAGTTTGTCCTTAAAAAGACAAAAGAGAAACATGCCTTCTCATCAAATATGGGGGGCAAGATTGACAAAACCCTAGTGTCCTGTAGCAAATTGTGAAGGAGAAACCAACACTACTGTAAAAAAAAAAAAAAAGGCATCCCATCTTGTATTTTGGTTTTCGACATAAATGAAGTTTCATCCTTTAATCTTAGAATCACAAACTGGTTTGGGTTGGAGGGACTTTAAAGATCATCTTGTTCCACTCCCCTGCTATGGGCAGGGGCATCTTCCATCCTCATCCAACCTGATCTTGGACACTTCCAGGGATGGAACATCCACAACCATTGTTCGATTCACTTTTTATTTGCTTCTACATCATGAAGAGCATGGAACAGTATGTTGTCTTGCTGTAAGGAAGAACACAACTTCTTTGATTGACGCTAAAGTGTCACCTTGCAATATCATGCTTGGAGTAGAGCTGAGTGGCTGGAGTAGGTGACGCTGCTTTTTTCTACTATAACATTTCTACCTCTACATTTTGTGGGTTTAGAGTCCATTTACAACTGGGAGATTACTCTGTCCCTAACCCAGATTGTAACTGTCTTTGGATGAGCATTTAAAACATGATTCTTTGATTTATTATTCACACATGGAATAACTTGAACTATTTCCGATTCCTACTTGAGTCTAGTTCAGGTTGGCACTGTAACGTCCACAAAGCAATTTCATACCATCAAAGAGCAAAAGCTGGGAAAGTAGGAACTTGGCTCAGGAAATCCCAACAATTAAGCTGAGCTGCTGTTTGGAATGTCCTTGAAAGGTGGTGCAGATGTTATGACAGTTAAAGATGCGTCATAAAGTGGTTGAGGGTAGAGTTCGTGCTACACCATCAGCAGCTCTTTGCTGTGTCCTTGGCGCTTTGTAAGGGCTGTTTAAAGTGAACAGGAACATGGTACTTTGAAAGGTGAGAAGCAAAGCTAACACAAACCAAAAAGCTAACTAAAACTAACACACGTTGCTGTGTGTAGTGGCAGCAGTTCAGGCATTTTAACTATGTGTACTTGGAATCATAACAATCTCTGTCACACTGTGATCAGCCCTTTCCCCCCTTTTCTTTTGTGGTTAGGTAGAAGGGATCAAATGGCGAAATGCAGGCTCTTAACTCTCATGGCTTCTTCACACATTACTATTTTGCCAAATGTGTGTGTAGATGCCAGAGGGGAAGTTTCAGCTGTTCCATAATCCAATTAAAAATGGCAATAAATAAGCTACTCTGAAGTGGCTCATAAACTTCCACCCTTTTAGCAATGTCTGTCACCGCCAGGGCTAAGTTGGATGCACATACGTGTGTTTCTGTACAGGAAGGAATGGAGCACAGCAGCTGGTATGATCCGTACCACTGAAAAAATGCTGACCATAGGAAGATAGCTCATGCATGACTCAGGATGTACTTCACAACAGCTTGTACTCCTACTCAAATTTTGGACTTGAATCTGTGTGATTCTCTGACTCGAGGGCAATATCCTTTTCCTCTTATTCACAGAAGGCGAGTTCTGCAGGCTCGTCTGATTTAGAGTATCTACAGTACTCTTTTTACTCATTTTAAAAGCAAAAGCTTAAGTGTTACTCCAATGTTTTACCTTTGGGTAAGAACTGAGTACAGTGATTTCAGTCCAAAATACTGAAAATAGTGGAGGGAAAGATCTGCAGGTGACACCAGGATTGGAGGTGACTGGAAGATGCAGCCTGTGCTGTCATGTAGATGGAGTTGTAGGGGGAATTACTTATGTAATTTTTTTACTGGTGTGTGCAGCGCCTGGAACAGGATTATCCTGTACACGTGAATAAGAAGTTGGTGCTGTTAAGTCAGCAGGTGGTAAATAGATCACAGCTCACCTGCTTGGTGTGGCCACAGCACACAGCTGCACTCGGGCAAACTACTGGGTGAAAGCAATGCTTCCCCTAGAATTGAGTACAGTGCCAAATGCTTTCCCTGCACAGCGTTTGTGTTCCTGATTCTGCTTAGCATCAACACAAGAGGAAAATAATACAGCAGGTCGTGATCACAGTGGAACAACAGGGATGCTGTACAATTAACCTGGGGGGTAATGGTGGGGTCCAACAGCATCTCCTGTTCTGCTCAACTCTGGTACAAGTACAGAGTAAGTGCTGACAGTAACTGGGGAGACACAAGAAAACTTCTGAGAGTGCCTCTCCACTTACCTGCCTGGATCTATTTGCTGACAATTAAAACTAATTGGTCTGTGACTGAAAGTATAATCCACCATTTGCCACAATTTAGGTGTCACCTGTGTATGTGTGACAGCCCAGACCAGAATAGGTTTGTTCTCCCAACACTACATCACCCTGGAAAGCATGAAACTGAGGCACAGGATTGCAGTGACCTGTCCACTGGGAATAAAAGCTGTGGATGGCAGCAACTTCCTATTGCTTCATGTTTTATGAGGTCTCTATCGGGCTTTTGGTTGAAATGAGCTTGGGACATGACTGTGGCTGAGGACAGGAGTGACAGGCACTAGCATGTCTGGATGCTGCTATCCCATAAATAGCAGAATGCATGGGGACGAATCCTGACCAAACAAATCCTGGAGCAGCACAGCCCTGCTGCACTCTGCACACATTGGGTCTAGTGGGATTAAGGGCATAGCGGAGTTGAATAATACAGGTCAGAACACGTTAAATAAGAAAAGCATTATGAAGAGCTAAATTTAAGGAAACAAAAGTTCATAGTAGAATAACTCAAGCTGGAAGGGACCCATGAGTACCATTGCATCCAATACCAAGCCCTGCTCCTGGCAGGACCACTTAGAACTAAACCATAGGACTACGAGCATTGTCCGGACAGCTCTGGCAGGCCTGTTACTTCCTTCCTGATTTGCAGGATCTATTGCTTTTTAAGAGTCTTTGACTTAATATTCTTAATTTATTAAAAATTTAGGATACAGAACTCAAGGTGACAAAGAACTGGCAGATACACTAAAACAGAGGGTGTGTTCC